ACTACTGGCGTGTCTGTTGTTTCATCTGCTTAAAAAATATGATTTTTCTACTGAGCTTTAGAATTTTTAATTTTATTAGTATTTATTGTTGAATTTAGTTTAAAAACCCTAATTTATAATAAAAAAAATTAAACGAGTTCAATTCTGAAATCCCTAACTCAACTACATGTTAATTCATTTGAACAACGCTAGTAGTCATATTTTTTTAAACACTTATAAACCCTAACTCATTTAAGTTTCATTTGTGCTATAAGTAGGTGTGATTATTTAAGTTTGTGATGTGAAAATATGTGAAATAAATTTTTTTAAAAAATAGAGTGATATATAACACATTATAATTTTTTATAATGTGTTATAATCTAATTTAGGTGCATAAAAAAATAACGTTATCCCTAGACTTCCGTCCAATAATTACATCCAATTCTAGGTTGCTCGTTTTTCTACTAGTGTAAGAAACATTCGTGTGAAAATATTCGCATTTGCATGATGGAGGATACCAGCATGCTAATTTTGTATAACATATGTATTTAAATACTACCAAAATCAAGTGAGGGTTTATAAGTGCTAAGTGAATAAAATTATGAGGCATTTAAGTACTATTTATCCATTTTTTATCCATTTATTTAACATGTATTATGTTTTTAATAACTTTTTTAATGGATATTGTAGGCGTCGAAAATTGCCTATAGGTCTCCACGAACAGCTCAGTGCTAAGAAACGACGATGAACGTCACTATCCGGTCCTATAGGTCTCCACGAACAGCTCAGTGCTAAGAAACGACGATGAACGTCACTATCCGGTTCACAGAAGTTTGATTGATGTCAGTGCTAAGAAACGACGATGAACGTCACTATCCGGTTCACAGAAGTTTGATTGATGTCGGTGAACGCTTAAAGTGAATCGACGAACTACGTAAACCAACGGAATTTCAGAATAACAAAGACACGAACTGGTCGGGAACCTCGTATCGTTCCCAAACGGCGAAATACCCTTAGTGTCTCATTTGTTCCACAGATGATATAATCATTGGAGTTTATAGAACTCCTCGTCGGCTTTCCAACGCACTTTGAATCGCTCAAATCCGAGTTCGGATGAAGAAGTTACGGCGGAAACGGACGAATATGTAAAACGGAATGTCTCAACCTGAGTTGAGACACCCCGAGGTGTCTCAGCACAAACGAGACACCCCAAGGTGTCTCGGCCAGGGCAAAGACGAGACACCCAAGGGTGTCTCCAACCTGATTTCGTCCCGTGCCTATAAATACAAGCCTCAGAGCCTCATTTTTGGGAGATCTGGATTTTTTGGAGAATTGGCAAAGCCCTGCCGGATCGAAGATTGATCGAGTTCTTCAACACAGGAGAGAAAACTTCTTCAGATCGGCACCGCCCGCATCCGATCCTTAGGGTTATCCCGTTGTGATAATTCTAAGAAGAGCAATTATCTCGCCGTTGTCGAGATAAGCGCTTCTGCTTCTAGATTCCCTCGCGAATCGACGGAGTTTTGGATCTGATCTGACTGTCAGGTAGTCCACGGATATCAACATCCCCGTCACCGGCTAAAGACCCACGCAAGCAAGAAACGACGAACGGATCTTGCGTTATTTTCGAAAAGTTATAATCTTTCATTTTTTTATTGAATATTCTGAATTCTTTGTAAGCAATCCATATTATAATGAATTCTACAATGAAGGCAACTTTCTCCGAAAATAGATATGTTTTTAATAACGTTATTTGTTTGATAAATACAAAAAATAATCTGCAAACAAGATACAAATATCATGGTAAAAAGAAGAATATATTCGCAAACAAGAAAAAACCCTTAAAATATATAAATTGCTAAATTTTTTGAATTAATTTGTCAATTATAAAAACAACCCCTGAAAACTAAAAATAACAAAAAAGCTCTCAAATTTTGAAAATAGCAACTTGCCCCCTAAAATTATGAAATTGTAAAAATATAAAAAAATTCGAATGACCCTTGAATTTTTTCAAAATTATAAAATCCCAATAAAAATTAAAAATTACCAACCTTCCCATGAAAAAGAGTCTGAAAACTACAAATAAAAATGTAAAAAAATAAAAATTGTATTGTTCCCTAATAAAAATCAGTACTTCAACAATCACTGAAAAAATCTAAAATATTATAAGTCACACCTACAAAGTCTAAAAATTAAAACTAACCTCATGAAAAATCTAGAAGCTCCAAACAACTCTATGAAAATCCAAAAATTACAAATAGCTCATGAAAAATCCAAAAATTGCAAATAGCAGAAAGGCCCGATAAATCTAAGAAATGAAGAAAGTCCCAATAATTTTTGTAGATTTTGCAAATGTTCCCATAAATCAAAACAAAAAACATATTTTGAAGGATAATTGCAGGAAAAAAAAGATGATTATCGTGACATTAACCTAGGTGTGAGCCAGGAAAAAATGAATGACAAAAGACAAGAGATTTCTATGTTTAGGGTTGATAATAAAAAGGTGCAAAAGGGATTTTTTTTAATAATTTAAGGGGTATTTTGGTCTTTTAAGCCAGGGAGTTGAATATGCTATGTTAGATGTAACAATGTTAACTTTGGGGATTTTCTACAAAATTTATTGGACGTTTAATGAGATTTTGAGAGTTCGTGGCGGTTTACTACAAAATGTTGAAAGTTCTTGGGTGTTTGGTGTAATTTTGAAAGTTTTGGGGGTTTAGTACGAAATGCTAAAAGTTCTTTTGGGTCCTGTGCAATTTACCCTTAAATCATTATATTCTTCATTGGCCAATCTCTAGGTACTTAACCCTTCCTTTATCTCCTAAAAATGAGCCTATTGCATATGCGACGATAATCATTGCAGAGCTCCTCCCCGTAAGATAATACATAGGAATGACGAGAGCGAATGTTACCTACAAATCAAACCGTGAGTCAGCGAAACCCTAAACTTACCCATAAACGCTGCTGCATTGCATATGCAGATTTTAATGATTGATCAAAGGGAATCTCCGAAGTTCATTATCATTCAAGATATCTATCGTGTTTAGAGTTTTTCTATTGTTCGCGCTTCTCACAATTTCATAAATAAATATTTTCTCCTTCTTCATCCATGAATATAGACCAAAACCCTAATCACGATGTGCCTTTTCTTTTCCCCCCTTTCCCTTCTTAATTTTTTTTTTAAATGTTTGCGCTTTGATTGCTTGTGGATGTTGAAAATTAGCTTAAATTGAAGCTGAGCACCATGACACCGCATATTGTTTCGGACCTGTGTATGACAGTGCGCTGACAATGCATACTTTCAATTTTAGGGGGTGTTTGTTTGCATGCAAGTAAAAGATGAAAGTGAAAAAATTACTTTTATTTAACAATTAAGGTGTTTGTTTTCATGTAAGTGGTTATGAAAGTGAGATACAAGAAAGTTATCACATATGATTTAATGCAATTTTGACTTCCCCTAAAAAAGTGGTGAAGTCACATGAAAGTGATAAAAAGATAACTAATTTAATTAAATGATTTTAATTATACTTTCTAATTAATCTTGTTTTGCCACGTCATCTTCATATTGCACTTTCGATAATAATTTAATTTTTATAACAAATACTGTATTTTACTTGCGTGCTGACATGAATGTAAATATCATTTGCAAAAAAAAAGTAACTTACATATTTTAAATTCACTTTCAGATTGCCAAACATCCCTTAGTGCAAGATAGGTGCGGTGACTGCACATTAACGAGGGTGGTTTTCAAATATAACCCGTTTCAAGTTGCTCTACGAATAGGGTTTTTCCAAGAGGTTAGGGTATATAGTCTAAAAACTACAGCTGTTAAAAGAAAGGAGAGAAAAAAAACAGAGGGAGAAGAAGGGAGATCAATTATTCTTGTGAGGATTTGCCGGAGAGGGGTTTGTGTGATTGCAATCTTTTCAATAAAGTAAAGCATACTCTCTCTTCTTCTCCCACGGACGTAATACATTGTCGAACCACATAAATCTCGTGTTTTGTTGTGTTTGCTCTTTGTTTTCCCGTTCTTGTGTTTTTGCCTTAAAGTTATCTGCACCAAACGCTAGAAGTCGCCGCAATTGGCATCACTGCGATATCGAATGTGAAGGAGATCTCGAAAGTGTAGTATTTTTAATGAGATTTTCCATAACATTTTCCGTGCAATTCCAAAGGTTCTAGCATTTGTCTACAGTTTTCTTTTAAACACAAGATAAAATCTTGATTGCAGGAGTTCATGTCAAGAGAGAAGTCCCGAGCTCAATTTAGCACCGGCACACTCGAGAGGAATCAGGAGGTGCCTATACAGTTTTCTCTTGTACTCACAGTTTCACACCGCCATCCAATTAAAGGTTACAACACAATATGAATACAAGCCGCAAACACATCCAAAGCAAAACCCATTCAGAGACCACGCAATACAAGAAATTCAGTTGCAGTTATCCTCTTTCTCAATGAGGACAAGAGCCGTTATAGCAAAGGAATTAAAGCCTCTTTCTGCACCCCCAATAGCATAGTGACCCCAATCACTAGCGTGCTTGGTGCGTCAAGTTGAAACCTCCTAAAACTAACTCCCTAAAGTTTCATATTAACCTGTAAAGTTCCAGCTCTCCTTTCCCCCTCTCTTAAGAAATCGGCTATGCATTCAAATTATATTTCTTAAGACTCGAGCACCTTGCTTGAATCAAGCGCAAGATCAGAACAAATATTTGAATATACCCCATGCTTCATTTCTAGTCAATAATTGTTCCTTTGAAGCAACATTAACTAATCTTTTCCCTCCTATAAAAACCTACCTCAACAGTCCCCTTCAACCTCAGTCAAAATGAAGAAGACAATTTTCTTTGTAGCTACACTAGTAGTACTAGCTTTGGCGACGGTAGAGAGCATTCCTTTCACCGAGAAGGATCTCTCTTCAGAGAAGAGCCTTTGGGATTTATACGAGAGATGGAGAAGCCACCACACGGTGAGTAGAGACCTCGATGAGAAGCACAAGAGGTTCTGTGTGTTTAAGGAGAATGTGAAGTTCATACATGAGTTCAACCGGAAGGATAAACCATACAAGTTGAGGCTCAACAAATTTGGAGACATGACCAAAGATGAGTTTAGAAGGACATTTGCGGGGTCTAGAATTAGCCACCATAGGATGCTACGGGGGAGTCCTCGCGGCAATGGAGGATTCATGCATGAGAATGTCACGGATCTGCCAGCATCTGTGGACTGGAGGCAGAAGGGTGCAGTTACTGCTGTTAAGGATCAAGGCCAATGCGGTAAGAAATTTAAAAATATTTATGAAAAATAAATAAATTCTTATATTGATTTGCTTATGTAATTTTTGGCAATATGTGTAGGAAGTTGTTGGGCATTCTCTACTGTTGTGTCCGTGGAGGGCATAAATCAGATCAAGACCAGCAATCTTGTTTCCTTATCAGAGCAAGAGCTTGTGGATTGTGACAATGGCGATAACAACGGTTGTGATGGTGGTCTAATGGACAATGCATTCGATTTCATCAAGAAAAATGGAGGAATAACTACTGAGAAAGACTATCCTTATATTGCTACAGAACGAAAATGTGATGCTACAAAGGTAGCTGAAATCTTTGATATTACGATCAATTTATGCGTCATTTCTTAATTTTGACTACTTATACAAAAATGTGCAGGAGAATTCCCATCACATAGTTGTGATTGATGGACATGAGGACATTCCTGAGAACGATGAAGAAGCTCTGATGAAAGCAGTAGCGAACCAGCCTGTATCAGTCGCCATAGAAGCAAGTGGCTCAGCCTTCCAGTTCTATTCTGAGGTATGTAATTCTGAAGACGGTCCCTTCGAAAATATAATAATGAACAATGTGAAACTTGGTTTGACTTAGATTTTTATTCTGATTACAGGGTGTTTTCACAGGCGATTGTGGCACAGAGTTGGACCATGGAGTCGCTGTAGTTGGTTATGGAACAACTCAAGATGGTACTAAATATTGGATCGTGAAAAATTCCTGGGGAGCAGACTGGGGCGAGAATGGATATATCAGGATGGAGAGAGGGATATCGGTGTCTGCGGGCTTGTGTGGGATCGCTATGGAGGCGTCATATCCGATCAAGACATCTCCTAACCCTGATCAGAAGAAGGATGCAGTACTCAAAGAAGAACTCTAAGATGTTTGCTTGTATTAGTTTCATACCTTAAGGATAGTAGAAGACTGATTTATTGTGTCATGTTTGTGTTATTTTAAGTTGTGTGAGGATGAATAAATTGTTTAGTGACATGGTATGATGCTATACCAAATTCTAAGAGTCCGAGTTCAAACGTTTCAAATTTAAAATATATTTATTTATCCCACTTTTGATATAGTATATTACCTCAAAATCAACAGTTTAAACTTTTAGATAAAGTTGTTTTGGACATGTGTATTATACAGACAGACAGTGGCTTTTCAATCTAGATCCAGATACAGATACATATAGAAATCTATCTACACTTGTCATAGATATAGTCAACTTGACATATCACAGTAACTCAGTACACATCACATATTGGATCTACCAGGCTAAACAAATCATCAGGAGTAAAGTATTCCATAAGCAAGTACCAAATCGCAAACTTTATAAATTTTCATATCAGGTACAGAAATATTCAATAGGATGGATGCAATGTACTTATTCAACACATAAAAAAGCAAACATTTCCACTCGCATTAGCAAACTCCCAAGTTGGAACACTAAATTCAACCATAGCATCGAATTGGATCATTGCATCCTTTTGCAGCTGACTGCTTAAGACCTCTTCCTCCTCCTTTCTCCAAGTACTGCTGGTGATATTCTTCGGCTCTGTAGAATTTCTTCGCCGGGAGAATTTCAGTCACAATTTTCTTGCCATTCATTTCCTTTTCCTTGGCTTCTTTTGATTCCTTCGCTAATTTAGCTTGTTCTTCATTGTAGTAGTATATTCCTGATCGGTACTGTGTGCCCACGTCGTTTCCCTAATTAACCAAATAACAGCAATTAGTGTATACTGTCATTCAAGCTCTGATTACCGTAATTGTAGTGCAACTTTATGGAACCAAAGAAACAAGAAGAATTACCTTTTGTTTTCCTAGAAACTCTAGGTGCTAGTAGTTACATACGCAGATCAAAATTAATTCAATTCCTACACAATTATCAGGTTTCCAGTTTCTACTGCAAGCTTAAGGAAACTTTATCACATTAAAGTATTTGTTTCATTGAAGCAAATAATAGCCTTTTTCTTATCAGGAAAGCCAAATAGAAGAGAATGCATGATCTTCACCAGTATCTAAATTCTCTAGTTAGAAATCAAATAAGATTCCATTACTTTAAACTTAATATCCTTTTTCCACGTTGCCAGTCCAAATCTAATTCTTTAAAATAAAAATACAAAAACTTTTCAAGTGTATCATGTTTTACTAGGCTCAATAAATGCATCAAGAATTTAGATAATGGAGAGAACAACTCTCATATCACAATTGTAATCAGATTCTCCCTGGAAAACCTACAACTTCAAAACATACAATTTCCTATTTTTGACTAGTATATCTCATACCATCCAAAGCTACTTGCCCCAACAAGAATTATAAGAACAATAACAATTAGGCAAAGGGCTCTCTAGCAAATCCTCAGTTGCTACAAATATTGTTAGTATGCTGAGATTTCTTACAAAAGGTATTAAACAATGGACTCGAGAAGTTTAATAGTGTAAGTCACTAAGTCTCTAAGAAAAAGCTTCTTGATAAGTTATTAGCTCAGGATGTTGCTGAAGAAGAAAGAGATTTATTTGATTTTGAACATACTAGAAGAGAGGACGCATCTGTTGATTTGTAAAGAATTCTGCAACAACAAGAAATTCTCTGGAAGCAAAGAGCTAAAACTCACTAGCTTAAAGAGGGAGAGTTGAATACAGCCTACTTTCATAAAATAGCCAAAGGCAGAAAAAGAAATAGCAATATTCATTTCATTCATATTAATGGAAGGGAGATTAGTTCTCTAGAGGGTATTGCTAATGCCTTCTATTGACATTATAAGACTATTTTTGGCTATAAGAGTCCTTCATAGGATTGATTTTACTTGGGAGAGGACTTCACCGCAATGTGTTTGGGGGCTGCATCCTTAGAAATTTGTTTTACTCTGGCTAATATTAAAGATGTTGTTTTTAGTACGAATGGAGATAAATCCCCTGGTCCAGATGGATTCTCTGCCTTATTTTTTTTCAAGAGTTCTGGGAGGTTGCACAACATGATATCTTTAATCTTTTCACTGAATTTTTTGAAGGGAATTTGGATTTTGTAAGGTTTAATTATGCCCATATTGTCTTAATCCCAAAAAAAGACGATGCAGGAGCAGAAGGTGTTGGGGACTCCAGGCCAATTAGTTTGTTAAATGGTATGTACAAAACTATAACCAATGTCCTTACCAATAGGCTAAATGAGAAACTTCACCTCTTTAGTGGATCTGGTTCAAACTGGTTTTATCAGGGGTAGACATCTTATGGATGGGATTGCAAGTAGTGTAACTACTCAGGAAGTTATTTAAGATTATTTTCTGAGAAATAAAAAAGGGGGGTTGTGCTGTTTAAGCTTGATTTTGCCAAGGTCTATGGCATGTTGGATTGGAGTTTCATTCTTGATATGTTAAAAGGCTAAAAGGCTTTGGTGCTAGATGGATAGGATGGATAAAACCATGTTCGCACGACGGAAAATCAGCTATAATGTTGAATGGAGTACCTGGGAAGTGGATTGTTTCTAAGGGAGGAGTTAGACAAGGGGGCCATTTTATCCCCTTTGCCGTTTGTTTTGGGAGATGATGCCTTTACTCATATGCCACCGAGACTGACCTCATCCATGCTTTAGGGCCTGGTAATTTTCCAAGGAAGAGTCGGAGCCTCCAATATGCAGATGACACCCTTTGATGGTTCTTAAATTGTTGTTATATTATATAGTTATGAATTAGCATCAGACCTCAAGGTTAACTTTACTAAGAGTTCTGTGATTTTATTAGAGCATAATCTTGATGCACAACATCAAATTGCTAGGTGCATGAACTGTGTGGAGGGTTCTTCCCCTGTAACATAGCCAGGAAATGTTTCTCAGTTTAGATCACACTACCAGCATACAATCAATAGGAGGAGGGATTAGATATGACTTTCAAGATGTTCCGAATAAAGTCAAGTTATTGATTTTCTTTGTGGTAAAAAGGGACGTTTGAGCACAAAAGACGGATTGATTATGGAAAAAAAAAAAACATCTCTGTGAACCCTATCTGCGTGCTATGTGAACAGACATAATGAAACACGTGATCATCTCTTAAATTCGCTACCCATCCGTATCATCCGTGTGGAATTCTCTTAGGCTGTGTTTGGGAACTTGGATTTGGATTTAGGAAGTTGATTTAAAATCAAGGGATTTTAAATTTAGGATTTGAAATCCATGATTTAAAAAGTCTTTTGTTTGGATATCTTTATTAAATGAAAGTATTTGAAATCTTTGATTTCAAAATCTAGTGTTTGGGTACTTTATTATACATGAATTTGAATTTAAAATTAATAAAAATTTATTCTCTTAACCCATCTTGTTTACATCAAATGCAGATCTCTACCACCATATATTACCAGATGCTTATGGCCATTATTAGTCTGTTACCATATATTATCACAAAATAGTCGAGTAACATGTACATGTATTAATTACATCGTGATTATTCCATGCTCATTGAAGAACACAAACCAGTATCAAATGAATATCAACAAAACAGAATCAGACACCGCAATGAAAGGCTAGCTGGCAAAAATACATATATTAATTACATCGTGAATATTAAAGGGCAAGCACAGTATAACCCAGCAAACAGAATCAGACAAAACAGAATAATGGCAATAACAGACTTCAGAGTATCAACAAAACAGAATGAAGGCTAGCTGGCAAAAATAAGATCTTAATTATTACACATAGCGTTCTGATACCAAATTTTGTTTCATTCCCCAAACTGACATCCCAGAATTTGCCGAGAGAAGCAACAAGCATGAAGACCCTTCACCTGATATCGGATTCATTACCTTAAGCTTCAGCAAACCTGGCAACACAACAAGTAACAAGGATAAGTTCGGAGAAGAAAAAGCGTGACAATATATTCAAGCGTTCTAACTATCCTCTTGTCCAATTAAAATACTAAGCACAATGTTAGATAAGCAACAACAACATTAACCAAGGATCAGTTAATTAAAAATGATCAAGATGGTTCAGCCTTTTCCTTGTAAATAGAAGAAATAGTAAGTTCACAAAAACAACCAACCCAACCAACCCACCCTCTATTTCAATTTGACAGTTGCTGTCACTTTTTCTTCAAATAGAGATATTGTTCGGTTGCCGAACCTAGCCCTCAGCTCCTCATGTGAAAATTAAAAGGGCTTGATCATTCATACCACGGCTCTTCACCTAATGTTCCGACTAACATTATAAAAAAAACATCAAACAATATACAAGGAGAATCATTGAAATTTCTGAAGGGAGAGACCAATTACTGGATTAATTAGGTTCACTGTAAGAATTTCAGAACTATGTTTCAAATTTACATCTAAATATTCATATATGCTATAAGGTATATCTGTATAATATTAAATATGGTGATGAAAGCACTAGGCACAGTTCATCAATTCATTGCATTACACTTCATAGATGGTTGAGGCTTTCAGTAGGAAAAAGAATAACCGGACTAAGATTAGCTGTTGTTTGGTTCTTTATCTTATAGACCTCTCAGAAAGAACAATGTATTCATACAATTCGCTTTAAGCATTGTTAGATCTGTATGATCGATTCGTTGCTGTTTGTTGATAATTTTCTTCATATATAATTGAAGATGAGTTCCAGACCTATCCAGACAAGTTTGAACAATATATCACATCGAAAGCCATTTGTTCATCTGTTTATACGTTTAGTACAGATCTGTATTGATCATCAGTTGACCTTCTTGATATTTTTATTTTGCGTGCACATGGCTTAGAAATGTTGTTTCTGGATTTGACAATAATAAAATAGAATGTTGTTTCAGTTATACAAAGAAGTTATTAGGCGAGTCCTCTTAAATTTTGTTGTCAGATTATTGCACTATACCCATGTACATGTGATTGTATTAGTATAAAAAAGGAAATTGTTGGGATCTTTCAATAACATTTGGGGCATATACCAAGTGAAATCACTTCGGATCCAAAAGCTAATGCGTCTTTATTTTCTCTAACAGGTTGCGAAAGATCCTTCCGGCAAAGACATTAACGCACTGGAGCAGCACATCAAGATTAGGGGCCGGACATAATAGATGTATATATTCTCAAAAGGTGGTGTATGAACTAAAGCCTAGGCGGTGCACACATTGTAAAACTGTAGGGCATGACTCTTGATGCATGTAGAAGGAGGAACATTCAATTAACCCGATTTTAGATTGGGGAATGAAACAGAAGGAGGAACATTCAATGAGAATCAAGGGATTTGTTCCCAAATGTGACTTGACTGCTACCAAGTCGAATGCATCATACAACAATTGGCAGTGTATCAGTGAATCAACAGTGTGTCAGTGACGAATTCAAGGATTATGGAAAGCAGAATCCAGTAAATCAACAGCGATCAGATTATGCGTCGATCCCGTTCAGATATCCTATTACTAACAATTCGTCGTATTCTGAAATTAAATTATACAATAATTCCCACACTTGTCGAATAGGGTTTTATTTCATGGAAATTTTGATCACATCAAATAAGCAAAATAAAACCAGACACAGACATTGAATTCAATTAACCCGATTTCATCAAACACCTGCGCTGCATAGTGTATGCCACTGAGGAAAAGAATATGGTCTCAATGGACTTATTTCAACCAAGTTCCTCTATGGAAAATATTAAAATATACTTGGTGATGTGGAAATTAAATTTAAATGAGCTGTGTATGAATACACCAACTAAAATACACTCATACATGTCTCCATCTTGGAGGTGTTACTATTTTTTTAATTTAATTGAAACTGTATATGCTGACTCAAATAATGATAAAACACAAAACGACATAAAAGAATGTGTACATAATAATATTCCATGTTTATATATTATTCAATTTCATAATCACCATCACTTGTTTAATTTATCTGTGAATAGACACAAGAAAGGGCATCCACATTGGCATGAGGGTTTTGCTTATTCTAGAAGATATTAATTAAGTTTTGTGTATCAGTTTCTATACTAACCTTTTTATATGATTTTTGCAAATTTTGATCTCTCATGTAACTCAAATATACAACCTGAAAATACAGTGAGAAGTATTCTAAAAGATGCAACCATTCGGTATAATCCTAGGCATTACTTCGAAAAGGTTTCTCACTAGAGTAACCACATAAATGTATCCAAAATTAGTAGGTATCGATTTCTTAAAATAAATCATAAATACTACTGCAGACTAAGTACATACCCTCAAGACGTTTTATTTATTCTAGTGTTAAGACTTGCTTTCACACCTATGAATGATATATATCCAAACCTGTCAATTTATGAGAGAACTGTAACAGAAATTAACATCACTTTCTACTTAGCTCAGCCATATCTATTACATATTTAGTCTTGTGAAGTTACTGTACAAAACAATAGTGTCAAGGGAGATGTGCGAGTTGAAATTATACTTGAAAAGAAATAGACTTGCACAAACCTAATGAAAGATACATTTTAGAAATGCATCATAAAAAGAACAGAATTCTCAATAAAATGAAAAATTTGTACCTTTGAGATGAGACAAGCACTCCTTACTTGAATTAGCTAAGAATCCATCAAAATCACCAAACCCTAATGCATTCATAAGAAATCATCAAAAAATTAGAAATATTCGGTTAAAAATATTGTGAAGAATAACATTGAGATGAAGAAAAGTAGTCCGACCTGAAAACTAGAAACTACTCCTTAAGAATAAAGAGAATAAAATCTCTTTTTTCATCATCAGGAAGTGACTTCAACAAATAAAACTTTTCCGGGTTGCTATCCATTATCTTCTCAAATGCATTGAACACTTGAATGCGACTTAAGTTGGGTATTTTTGAGACCACTTGATGAATCTCCTCTGCGGTTGGTGGTTTTCTTACTACTTCCTTCTTTCTCTCATTAAAATACTCACTCACAGAAGCTGCCATCAGTGCAANTAAACCTCCGCCATTCTCGTTCTAATTAAAGAGCAACTCTGTCCAAATTTCCATGTCGATGAACACATTCGCCAAACACAAGCAAACAAAAGATTAGTGTTTAGAATTATGATACAAAAGTTTCTGCATCATCTAGGTAAAAGTTCTTGCACATAGAATGATGCGATCATGGCATCCCGAGCCTGGGTCTTGTCTAGTTATCAAAGTAATTGGCGATTAGCTCTTTGGCTCGTGGTCAGCGTTGATTTTTATTATGCTAAAAAATGGTTAGCCTGCTAGATTACATGGAATACCGTGTCCGGGGAGACCTCATACACGCCACCAGATATGTATGGCTTCTTACTTATTTTAACTCCCAAGTTGACTTTTACGTTTCAATTTAAAAAGAGATAAATATCGATGTCAAATGAAATCCGAACAGCATAGTCATCTGTATCCAAGCATAACAGCGCACAATTTGTGGAAATCACCCTTTCATTTCATTGTAAACCAATCATAATTTATGACAAGTCATTTCTTTACTATCACCATGACCAACTTAGGAAACCAGAAACATATATGTTAGTCGTGAGTGACATCTACCCATAATGAGTACAACATCAGGCGTGAAGTGGACTTTTCACACAGAAATGACACTTCGATTACTCGCACACTTCACTTAGCAAAACACTTCGACGATGCATACAAATGCCGTTTTCTACAGATAGAAATGTCCAGTTAGGATACTTGGACAGTGCTATCTACCCTTAAATGTTTTCAAAAATACACTTAAATATTGTAAAGTTCTAAACTTAGTCGGTTCAACAAAATGCATGCAAGGTTGGGTCACTGGAATAAAACCTATGGTTGCTCGTAATTAGAATGCTTTCGTTTCTGAATTATATTTCAAGTTGTAACTCGGCTGTTACTATTTTTTAATTTTGTTAATCAATGATATAAAATTAAGCATACTAGCACACAAAGTTCTCAAAACTTTCAAGGTAACGATCATGGAGATGCCCACAAAACAACATGCTTTTCTTTAGGAATCTGACACCAAATACAACAGAAATACAGACCAAAATTCAAAGATAAATCAGAGGTTTGCATTAGTAGAACGATACTCAAAAGAACTAGCCCAAATGTGCAGACAGGGTTTCGTTCCAAAACCTGGAAAAAGAAATAAGCAAGTAGGGCAACATGAATCCAACATTAAACTATATACCCTACGATCAGATCTGAGGGTTTCGGACTGTGGGAGAGGCACGGGGAAAGGGCAGGTGTGGAGAGGCAGGCGGCGGTTGGGGGGGAGCGGCGGCGGGGGAGTGCGAAGAGAGAGACTTACGTGGTTGAGCGATACCAGAGAGAGAGATCGCGGCACTTAGAAACCAGAGGCAGAGGCGGCGGCAGAAGGGGGAAGGTTGGCGGCGGGGCAGGCCGGCGGCGGGGGCGGGGGCGGCGGCGGGGGCGCGGCGGAGGGGAGGGGGTAGGGGGAGAGAGAGAGATCGAAACCAGAGAGAGAGAGAGGCGATCGCGACTGGAAAAGAAATAGAGGATCGGGTTGGATTTGAGAAATAGAGGATCGGGTTGGATTTGATAAATAACAGGGGGTTGGGTGGAATTTGAAATCAGATCTTTTGGGCTTTCAAATTCCTCTTTGTTAAATCAATTGATTTAAAATCTAGACTTAAATCAGAATTCAAACTAGATATTTGGATTTAAAATACCCTGGATTTTAAATCCAGACCCAAATCCAAGTTCCCAAACACAGCCTTAAATTCAAATATTAATCTTAGTAGGTGATTTTGCGTCCACTGAAGACGTATATGGCTGTGCATCTTAAAAAATACGCTACCCTTTTGTATCATCTGTGGGGTTATATAGACCGTGCATCATCCTCTCTTTCTCCCAAACCAAAAAAAAAAAAAAAGGGAAAAGGAGAGAAAGGGCAACGCTCTCTTTCTCCCAAACCAAAAAAAAAAAAAAAGGGAAAAGGAGAGAAAGGGCAACGGGAAGTTAGAGGTCACAATTGCGATGATTGAATTCCCCAAAAGTTTCAAGGGCGATTGAAATTTTACCTGGCGATTGAGAGCGGTGGGGTCATGACGCCCCCAGAAAAGAGACAGCAACGTCAAATAAGAGCAAATACTAGGATCAAAATGGACCCTCAAAACCTCCGCATGACCAGTACCACCTCCCCGCACAAGACTGTAAGTTGGGTCATGGACATGGCCTTGAGAGTAGCCAACCTCGGTCTTCACGACTCCCTGGAACCCGCCGGAACGGCGAGCCTCACGCCCCAGAAGCAGCCGGGCGGCGAATTGGGCGAGGTTAAGGTTGGGTTCGAGGAGCGGTCTAGCATCGGGGGGGCGGGATGCGCTGGGCGCTTGCCGTGGAGTCGATGGACGCCATTGCTGTTGTTCTTTTTTTTCTTTTTCTTTTTTTTTTGTCGGGTGCCCTGGGACTTGAAGGGTTTGGATGTTTGACCGAGTCAAAGGTCAATAGAGGAGGAAGTTGGTGTACTTACTTTTTTTTAGGGCTTGTTTGGATTGAGGGGAATGAGAGTGAAGGGAAGTTAGGTGAACCATTCACCTCTATTCATCTTGTTTGGGAACACTTAGGAGGTGAAGTTAATTCACCCTAGTTCCTCTTGGTTCAACCCCAAATAGTATAAAAATTGTTACCCCCCAAATTGGGGTGTAACCAAGTGGAAGGGAACTTCCTTCCCTTCTCTTCCCTTTCCTTCACTCAGTTTCCCTTAACTTCCCTTCACCCCTACAAATTCAAACAGACCCTAAGGGAAAATTGCTTGGAGGAACCAAAAAAAAGTTGGTTCAAGCATCCTCCTCCCCAGCCCAAAAACCATAACAAAAAAGCCCTAAAATTGAAAAAAAGTGCAACCAAGCCCTAAAACTCACTGCCCAAGAAAGCATTCCCAAGTTACCCTTCTTCTTCCCCATTTAAAACTCAATCTCTTTCATCCTCCTAATCTGACCCTAGACCTCCCCCTCCCTCACCACCTCCGACTGCGCCGAGATGAAGAACCCGCTCGCCGCCGCCGCCGCGCGGCACCCGTTCTCCTCTAGCTCGTTGGTGCAGGACGATTTTGTTGGGCTGTTTTCGTTTGGGTTCTCTTTTGTTTTCCCATTGGGCCATTGAAGGTGTCGTTTTCATCTTGCTCGGTGTTTTGTCTCTGTTACGCGGAAAAGACCTCGTCTTTTATAGGCTCGGCTAAAGGCAGCCATTTGAAATCTCTGTTCTCAATGAGTGTTTGATCTGGGTTCTGCTAGATTTTTCTTAAAGGTAAGAAATGGCATCAAAATTTGATTTTCATGGTTATTTGATTAATGGGTTTTAATTGATTTTGGTACTTGCTTAGTGGGTCTTTGTTTGTTTTTGTTGAGAATTGGGGTTTGATTTTCTGTAGGTCTGAATGGTCTGGGATTTGTGAGGTTTGAATCTTATCATGGTTTGATGCCTTCTGCCGGTTGATTAAGTCCGCGATTTAAGAGTTTTTGTTGCTTGATAGAAAGATGAACGGAGCAGTTTTTGTTGCGATTGCTGCTACAATTGGTAATTTACTTCAGGGCTGGGATAATGCTACAATTGTAGGTAATATCTATTTCCAAAGGGAATCAACAGTTTATCTATTAAATCCCTACATGTTTAATCCTTAAATTAAAAAGTGAGAATTATGTCCACATCTGTGTGTTCATTTATTATTTTTCCTCTTCAAGGGCTGTTATTTACATAAAGAGGAAATTTTAATTAGAGACTCAACCCACCATCGAGGGGCTAGTCGTAGCTATGTCCCTAATCGGAGCCACAATCGTCACAACGTTTTCAGGGCCAGCATCGGATTATCTTGGTCGACGACCTATGTTAATAATCTCATCAGTTCTCTACTTTATAGGCATCATGTTAATGTCGACGACCTATGTTAATAATCTCATCAGTTCTCTACTTTATAGGCATCATGTTAATGTTATGGGCCCCTAATGTCTACATGTTACTTCTGGCAAGACTCATCGATGGCCTCGGCATCGGTTTATCAGTAACTCTTATTCATGTTTACATATGCTGCAGTTTAAGTGTTATATGATATTTTTACAGATATGATTGTGGCATACATGTATATTTTTTCATCAAGCCGGTCCTAGAGGGAAGGGAAGCAATGAATATTAAGGCCTTGAAAAAGGAGTCTGAGATGTTACGGACAGGACTTGCTGGGTCATTGCCTACTTTATCCAAGCATATGTTGTAAATGTGCAAGATTTTTTTCATACGACATCTAGCTTGTGCAATATGTAAAGAAACATTGTTTGTGATAAATGAAAAAATCAAGCGTCCATTTTAATGTTATATGTGATAATTCAATCTTACGTGTGAGAGTTCTACCTTATATGTGATATTTAGATCCGATTTGTGATATTTGGGTGTTATATGTGATATTTGGGTATTGCTTGTGATATTTGTTGTTTATACGTGATATTTGGGTATTGTATGTGATAATTGAGTGTTGCTTATGTTATTTGGGTGTTGTATGTGATATTTGAGTGTTGCTTGTGACATTTGTGGTTTATACGTGACATTTGGGTGTTGTGTGTGATATTTGGGTGTTGCTTGTGATATTTGTTGTTTATACGTGACATTTGGGTACATTTGGGTGTTGTGTGTGATATTTGGGTGTTGCTTGTGATATTTGTTGTTTATACGTGACATTTGGGTGTTGTATGTGATAATTGGGTGTTCCTTATGACATTAGTTGTTTATACATGATATTTGAGTGTTGTATGTAATATTTGGGTGTTGTACATGATATTTGGGTGTTGTATGTTATATTTGAGTGTTGTTTGTGACATTTGTTATTTATACGTGATATTTGGGTGTTGTATGTGATACTTGGGTGTTGCTTGTGATATTTGTTGTTTATACGTGACATTTGGGTGTTGTATGTGATAATTGGGTGTTCCTTATGACATTAGTTGTTTATACATGATATTTGAGTGTTGTATGTAATATTTGGGTGTTGTACATGATATTTGGGTGTTGTATGTTATATTTGAGTGTTGTTTGTGCCATTTGTTATTTATACGTGATATTTGGGTGTTGTATGTGATACTTGGGTGTTGCTTGTGATATTTGTTGTTTATACGTGACATTTGGGTATTGCATGTGATAATTGGGTGTTGCTTGTGACATTTGTTGTTTATACATGATATTTAGGTGTTGTATGTGATATTTAGGTGTTGTATGTGATATTTGAGTGTTGCTTGTGATATTTGTTGTTTATACGTGACATTTAGGTGTTGTATATAATATTTGGGTGTTGCTTGTGATATTTGTTATTTATACGTGATATTTGGGTGTGGTATGTGATATTTGGGTGTTGCTTGTGACATTTGTTGTTTATACGTGATGTTTGAGTGTTGTATGTGATATTTGGGTATTGCTTACATTAGAAAGATTGCATATGAAAGTTACCAAACGTCTCATTTACCTGACGACTTTACTTGTGACATATCGACTTTACTTGTGATATATCGACTTTATTTGTGATATGTATGTTATATTCAACTTGCAGTCTTCCTAATGTAAGCTCACAGTCATCGGTTCATATCAAGGAACCTTATGAGAGGATCCCAATCGAGGAATCAGAGAGGATCCCAAACGATAATCCTCAAGGAGAGCATGTGTGGATGATGAACGACATAGCAAGTGACTCGTCTCATGTGTGACATTTACTCGTCTCATGTGGAATGACTCTATTAGATATGACTTATATCTGTTGTATGTGATATTTTGATATTGTTTGTGGCATTTGTTGTTTATATGTGATACATAGCTGTAATTTATGATAGTGAATTTTTGTTTGATACACAAATATGGTCATATCACTTCTAATATTGCTGAATCTTACAACAATTGGATTCGTGTGGCGAGAACACTTCCTATTTGCGATATGATATCACGCTGAAGGACATAACCGAGCCACGTGCACTGAACCTATTCAATATTAACGTTTCCTGCTAGAATTCAAACTCTTTTATGATTGTTGTCTATTATATGTTACTTTTGACATTTTGTTATGATATTTACTACTTAAATGTGACATATTACCTGTTCGTATGACTTGTTGGTATTAACTGTGACACCTGTAAGAACTTTACTTTCAGATTCCATTTAATATGCTAAAGAAAAAAGATCACCAAGCAATTACAAATGCACATTTTATCGTTTACAAACAGATAGTAAACATCCAACGTCCAACAAATGAAACAGTTATATGTGTTTGTCTAATACTTCCACTCAATCAACGGTACATCATTACCCAAAAAGTACAAAAAATATTCTGGATCATCAATATCTAACTTCAATCGCAACTTCTTCCATTCACTACATTCACATATGATTTGAGCTACAAGTCCTTCCCGTAACATCTCACTCCCTTTGCAAGGCTTCAATATTCATTGCCTCAATTCCCTTTAGGATCACCTTGATGAAAAAATATGCATGTATGCCATAATCATATCTGTAAAAATATCACATAACACTTAAAACGCAGCATATGTAACTGGTAACGAGAATATATCACACAGAATATAAAAATATCACATAACAGCAGCATATGTCACACAGAATACCAAAATGTCACATAAAAGCAGCATATGTCACACAGTATACCAATATCACATAACAACAGCATAAGTCACACAGAACACCAAAATGTCACATAAAAGCAGAATACATCACCCAGAATGTCACTATGTCACATGAAACTAGTATATGTGACATAAGTAAGTATCACAAGTATTAATAAACTGGTAAGTATAAGATGTTTAGAGAAACTTACGAGCCTTTTTGCGTTCGACAAGAAACTGCTTCACAAATTTCAATTTTTAATGAATCAAAAACAAGAAACATTGACACTTCATCCAAGATCATAAAGTTAAAAAACCTATAGCTGAAAAACACAGAGATCCAGCTACCGAATCACCAAATCCAGGCCAACGATCTAGTACGGCGTTCATCTAATATGCTCCAATGTTCTCAATAATCTTAATCAATTAACGAAGTAATACTCACTTCAAGTAACTCTTCATAATTGTTATCCAATAAATTTTAGTGCTTTCTCTAATTAAACAAAGAGATCCAGCTACCGAACCACCAAACCAATAGTAGAGAAACATTATTGTGTACTGAAGAACAAAACCAGCGGCCAACTGCTTGGGCATCAACAACGCAGCTCTCAGATTTTCAAGCGGCAGCGTTATTCCCATCCCTCATTAAAACCAACAAATAATTAAATCATTCCGATAATTATCAATCGAACCATTATACAATTCAAGGATCTGATACTGAGCATTGTGAGCGTAATTCCCACAATCTAAAAATTCCGACCGACCCAGAGAAAAGAAGGCGGCCACCATAGCGCCACGAGGCAAGCGACCCCACCTAGATGGGGAACCCTAGGAAGAGGGCTTCCCCTAGTCACACGATGATCTCACACCCATTTAGGGTTTTGGTCTCTTTCACTTCGCCGCCGTCGCCATCGCTGCTATTAGTAGCTGAAGGATTAAAGCTGGAGCAAAGAGGGGAGAAAAATGGACGAAGAGAGTGGGTTTGTTTTGATGGGTTGATGGTGGAGATTATGGGGTTTGAATTTGTAGGATTTTGCAGTGGCAGAGGAGGGAGGAGGACGAAGGCGCCAGCGCCGACTGGTGGAGAAGGGGTCGGGGAGGAGGGGGATGCGGATGAGGAGGGAGGAGGAAGGGAGCCGCTTTTAAATGGGGAAGAAGGGTACTTTGGGAATGAGTTTCTTAGGCAGTGAGTCTTGGGGGTTGGTTGCACTTACATTTTAATTTAAGCACTTGGGGGTTATGATTTTGGGGCTGGGGAGGGGGATGTTTGCTCCAACTTTTTTTGGTTCCTCTATGCAATTTTCCCTTTTTTTAATTTT